AGAATAAAAAAGTATATTGTTCACATTGTAGAAGGAAGCGTTTCCGACTCTAAAAAGTATATATATTTTTTATCAGGACTACTAACCGATTAGGTATAGCCAAGTCCGTCTGTCTGTCTGTATGAACGCTGAGATCTCGAAAGTTACAAAAGCAAGAAAGTTAGCATTAACCAAATATATTCTTGGGCTACCTAAGCAGCTGAGGTTTAACTCAGCCGAGCGCGCATTCTAACGCCCACAAATTACCTTAAAGGATTTTAAAATGTCTGTCGCTCACATCTTTAAATATTTAGGAAAAGTAAAATTGAAAATTGTTTTATGTATTTTTTAAACCTAACAAATACCTATTTTTTAAATTAAATGTTATAAGCAAAAATTGGAACAACCGCCAGATGGAGCAACCAAAAATTTCAACAGCCGCCAGATGACGCCAGTAGCTTTGATGACTGCATGTCTGCATCTCCCTCGCACTACCTTCAACTGGGTATCGTGTGTCTTACATTTGAAGTCATAGACTATAGCGTTCTCTCTTGTTTAACGTAAGTTTAAAGTTTAAAACCTCTTAGCAAACAAATCTGTTATTTATTTATAATTAGGGAAGAATATTCTTATAAAAAAAATAGGCCAAGTTATTGAGTTCTCGGAAAGGTATAGCCATTTTTCTCATTTTAAAACTTTACTAATCACCGTGAAAGTTTCCTTGAAAGCAGTCAACACAACTTATTCCCATGCATAGGTATTCCCCGATCTATTGAATATTCGATGAGTGGTCATGCAATCGAGGGACCCGTTAATTACTGAATAAACCATGCTTGCCCACAAACGAGCATCGACAACTGTAATTTGCCTTCAATATTCCAATTAAATTGTGTAAACAATTTGGCATAAGCCAGAGGTCCTTAATTACAGCAAGCCGTACAGGTAGAGCGATACGGGACGAAGGGGTAAAATGACACAATTACGGAGTAGCTGGAGTAGCCATCCGTCGGAGCCGAAGTAACGCCGCAAATTGAGTGGGGGCGTGGCCATTGTTGGGTAAACATCGGACAGCTCTGTGTGTGTGTATACATTGATATAGCTCCGTGTTCTGCGGTCACGGAAACACATGTTCGCCTTCACATCCCGTCGAATGCCATGAAATTTTAATTTTCATTAGTCGAACGATATAATTTAGAGACCGCAGACTGCGAGCAATTCGTGGTACTTAGTTGCAGATACTTTTGTATCTCATTATACAGTTGCGAAAAAAATAATAGCACCACTTCGTCACAGGTTCTTAATATTAAAGAAATATGTGGAAAACGGGGATTTTTATATAAGAAGTGTTTTTTATTATCTTGATTAGTATTCCACCTATTTGAAAAAATTGATACGGATATCGAAAATATTGTCTACATATAATTTTTTCAGATTTTAAGAAAAAAAGTCAAAAAAGGCCGAAAAAAATAATAGCACCACTTCCGTTTTCTTTAAATAAAACGATACGATGCGCTAATATTCTTGTGTATAAAGGATATATTTTATGAGATTTGACTAAAACTAACTTCTCCTGATATCCAGACATCAAATTGATTACCATTTGGCAATACAAGGACATGTGGAAAATTTTCCAAGTCGGAAAAGAAAAATATTCAAAAAAGAAACATATTGGATGGAAAACGGTCATGAAAACCGGTTTGATTGGTTAGGTTTTGGATCATATTCATTAAGAATGGCATAAACTTTGAAGGATAACACAGAAAAACCGAGTCCTGGCCCAGTTTTCCTTCAAAAATGTTATATCACAAAGCACAAAGAATCTTATCAGGGCCAAAACTAAACTAAAACACGTGCTTAAAATAATAGAGAATATTTTAATAGTTGGATAATGTTTCAATAAACAAATTTATAAAACATGCACTTAAAAAAAAAATCCTATCCGAAATGCGAAACACATTTACAAGGGCATAGGGCTCGTCAAAAAAACTTACAAATGAATGCCCGCAAACTTATGAGAATGTGTGAAGGCAAAGTTAAATTGGGTAAGAAGAAATCCTTTTTATAAGTCATGTGTCTTCTAAACACCTAAAATGACCAAAAACATGGTACCAAAACATCCATTTATTGAGCATGGACCTAGTATTAACATAGGCTTGTTTTTCCTTCTTGGAGTAAGATCAATACGGATGAATACATCGTTCATGAATCATCCTATGATGTAAATAGTAATACGGTAGTAATTCGTAGCTTAAACTGAATACAAAATACTTCTTAAATGAATCTTTGACCAATAAAATCCGGCCAGGATCACGGTCAGGATAGCAAAGAAAGAGTTCGAAAGTACTCAGTCAGCAATATACAGTGACTTGTGTAATCGCTTGACCATAACACAACCAAAAATCCTTGAGTTTTTTTTTTAAAGACAGTTTATACAGTTAATCTAAAACGTCTTAAATCATTTCCGAATAAATTTGAAAATGTATCATGACTTTTGGGCCCCAATTCCTTTATAGGTAGGGTCCTGACTTGTTTAATCGATAGTAAGTCATTATATCCAAAAATCGCAAAAGATATTTACACTTTAAACTTAGATTTACTTGTTAGCTACCGCCAACTAAAGATTAAGTTATCCATTTGTCGTTTTTCTACCTTTTATTCTATTTTTAGAGAAGTGGTGCTATTATTTTTTTCGTACGTTTTTCCAGTTTTGCATAGATTTTCTTAAATAAGTCCAGAAACCTTTTAAAAAGCTACCATTTTTTTTCATATTCAAATTATGTTTAGTCTTACTATTTAAAACCCGTTTTGAAAAGTTAAAAAAGTTAAAAAATGTGAGTAGGGTGACTAGTTAAAATTTTTGTGGGTTAGTGGTGCTATTATTTTTTTCACAGCTGTACGTCTCGATAAAGCTTTAATTATTTTCGTTTTGTGCTGTGTGCGCATTTCTTTGGCACGGCTATGCCAACAATTCGCTACAATTTGTCAGTAAATAATTTCGAATTGTTCTTCGTCTGCGGGCAATCAAAAAAATCTAAAAAACGCGCTCGCTCAAACGAAAGAGAGTGCGAATACGATTGTAAGTGTATCTTTTGCTTTCTGCTGGCTGCACATGGGATTGGGGACTTCGGATTGGGGACCACGGATTGGGGATGAGGAATAGGGCTGGTGTCAACAGCGCTCTGATTTATTTGAGCGCATTCAACGCTTCGTTGCATTTCGTTAATTTGCCCGTTTTCCGCTGCCAGAAGAGAAGCAGCCCAGAAATATTTACCCACACTCAGCGGACGTCTATGAGGACCCCCGCCCATCCTTGACAAAGTGCCAAAAATACTAAGGAAAACCCAAGAGCTTTCATCATAATCAGAAAACCAAAATTATCAACGAGCCGCATAATTATATTGTAATTTATGCCGTTGTCGAATTGGTTAAAATGTTTGCAATGTTCGGTGCTCGTAAAAGATTTCAAACACCCAAACGTGACCAATGCCAATTTGTGATCCAATCAATGGACGCTCCGTCTTTTATGGCCAAAAATTTGGTCAATTATGATCAATTAAGCCATACACATGCAAATTATTGTCACCTGCTGTGTGAAAAACGTTCGGCATATCAATTATGTAGGCTTAGGGGATTTTGGGGACGGATGTGGAAACGCCTACAGCGGATGTAGTAAACCAATAGATTCATTTGCATCGTGGGGAAAGTTAGAGTTATGACTGCTAACTATTGTTATCAAGATTGTATAGCATTTTGTAAGTTACTTCTTTAAAAAACACAAATGTTCGATTTTCAATTATAACTTTTTTCGTTGCTTTTCGGAAACATTTAGTTATTCAATTCAAAGTGTTCTACATAAATATTTTGCTCCAAAAACCGAAACTGACGACCAAAATGTTGGCTACTTTTCTCTTCCAACTGGAGAGTGTGGTAAAAGACTATGTATTGAAAAAAGAATTTGTTTTTCCGAAAAAAAAATGTTTTCTATGATGAGTATCTAACTTAACATGACATTGAAAAATCTGACATAAGTTATGTTTTTTAAGGTACGGTTTGCCGATCAAATTATCATCAAGGATTTTCATGAACTCACATAAAAAATAAATAATTTCGCTTTACATTTTAAATTAAAAGTCATCAAAATGTCATAAATTGGTTGGACGACCATAGCTTTATACCTAAATATAAATGATTTAAGAAGGTCTCTTTCCAGCAGTTATTTGCTTTCAAAGTAATATATATTTTGATTTAATTTTCTAATGGTGCCGACGACTATCAACAATTGGCATTTATTTCAATTTTAATGCTAGGCATATAGGTATTTTAAATGATATTTTACGGTGTGCATAAAACGCAAATTGAAACCCTAACCCCCAGTAAGCCTACCTGATTAGCACCAAGCCAAAATAGAGGCACTCAAATGGGAGTGTCTGAGTCAGGGATGTGTTCACCGCAGATATGTAACTAAATTGCAGATACAAATCGGTGAGCAGACTCGAGTGTCTGCTAATGATGCCCAACAGCCACACCCACTGGCAACTGATGTTTGAATTTAAATTGGTCACTAATATGCCTCGCGAGATCCCATCCCCATATCCATCCGTCCTCCGGAGGAGCCCCATTCCGGAAGGCAGAGAGCTAACGATGACGGCGCATTAATGGCGGGGCGTTCTCCTCTGCAGTCCGGCGATGTCTGATTACCGAGCGATTCGAGCAGAACGCAATTACGGAGCGGGAAGGTGGCCGAGTGGGGTGTGGGTGGTGGGGCTGCGGAGCTCCATTGCCGGAAACTGGTTCGCCGTCCGCACCACCCGGCAATTAGCCGGCAGCCAATCGGTGGGCCCCGCCAGACAGAGACACCAGCAGTTTGTCATGCGCCATATTGAAAAGGAGGAGGAGCTACATGTAGCCTGTGGTGCGGCATTTGTGGTGGTTGCTCGGCGGCCTCTGAATTTCGACTTGGGTGCCGCAGGCGTACGTGATGTCTGCTGCAGTTCGACAGTTGCTCGCAGATCTCTGAACGGTTCACTGCGTCGTGTCTGCTCCGCAGAATAACCGCCAAGCAAATTAGAGAAAACATAACATTAAATATTCCCGAAAGTGAGCTTTTGAGTGGGCAAAATGGAACGGCCGGCCCTGCTGCAGAACGGAGAGCTGGGCAACATGGATTCCTCTACAACCAGACTGGCCAGCAAGCCCTTCCCCAAGCCCTTCTCGATCGAGAGTCTGATTGCCAACCAAACACCTGCCAGTGCCGCACCTCCTTCGCCGCCCGAGGAGCGGGATCAGGAGCAGGAGCCGGAACAGGAGCAGGAGCTGAGTGCCCGGGCCATGGTGGCCAGTTCCGCCCTGGGCCTCACCCAGTTCCCGCTGTACAACCCCTGGCTGCATGGCTATTTCGCCCAGAACCACGAGAGATTAACGCATTTAATTGCCGGCGGCTGCTACCTGCCCTCCACTCCAGCTAGTCATCCGGCTCCGCAGCAGCCGCAACCACAGCCACCGCCACCACCACCGTCACATGCCTTGGAGAAGCAGCTTCCGCCCACCTTGCCGCATCCGCTGGATACGCGTTTCCTGCCCTTCAATCCCGCCGCTGCCGGAGTCGCGCCCACGGATCTCAGCTACCGGCGATTGGCCGAGCTCATGAACCAGGACTACGTGCACAGCCTGAGCGTCCATGCTCGACTGCAGCACATGGCCGCCGCCGGCAGGCTCCAGGAGGATCAATCAAACCCCGGATTGGGGCAGCTCCAGGAGCCGTCGCCCCCGCAAGCCCACTCCTCGCCAGCGAAGTCCGGCAGCCACAGTCCCGTGGAGCCGACGCTGGATGTGGGCATGGACGAGGACTTCGAGTGCAGCGGCGACTCCTGCAGCGATATCAGTCTGACCATGTCGCCCAGGAACTACGCCGGAGAGATGGACAAGAGCCGCAACGGAGGTGGGTCAATATTAATTGATTAAAAATTAAGGATCAAACTTTTACTTTTTTTGCAATTTGAAAATAAGGTTTTTTGTTTTAAAATGCAAATATGTGTAAATATAGCATGCGCGGATCCACGGGGGTGATATGGGTGATATATCACCCCGCACTCGGGTGAAAAATGAAAGGAATATTGGTATTCAAAAAGTATTCAACAAAAAATTTGTTCTGATATCACGCCCCACAACAAAGTCCTAGATCCGCCACTGAATTATAGTATTATTAGCGAATTATTAGGTATGGAAATTTATGGTTATGTTCTAATTTTCTGGACTGTCCTTTATTAAAACGGAGGTTTATTCACAGATTGGACGCTATAAGGGATTTGCGGTTTAAGGGGTTACATTGATTTAGACTTTATTTCATCTGCTAAAGTTCTTAAAGAAAAGTTAATCGTAGAGTAAAGTTTATATTGTATTCGTCGTAGGTAATAAGGTGAAGAAAGCGTATCTATAAAGTATATATATTCTTAATCAGGATCATTAGCCGAGTCGATCTAGCCATGTCTGTCTGTCTGTATGAACGCTGAGATCTCGGAAGCTCCAGAAGCAAGAAAGTTGGGATTAACCACATATATTCTTGGGCTTCTTTCCCAGCCTGACTTTGTTTCAGCCGAGCGCCACGCCCACTCTAACGCCCACAACGCCTTAAACGATTTTAAAATGTGTCTTGCGCTAACATCTTAAAATATTTCGCAAAAGGATTTTGTTGCGTTTATTATTACCTTTCTGAATGTAAAAGAAATTGTTTAAATCGGACAGTTCATTAAAAATGTATGAGCAAACAATGCAATTCAAGCAGTGAAATCTCCCTCGCACTTTCTTTAGCTGATTAACGGATATTTGATAGTCGAGTTACTCGACTATAAGGTTGTAATGTTATTGTTTTCGATCAATAATACTTTTTAATCACTGCGCTATTTTAAAACACGAATATTTTTCAAAATAAATTAAATTCTATTAGTGTCATTATCATAAACGCGTTTTTAATACTGGGATTAATTAATTAAAACCTATTAGTGCCATTCTCATAAATGCGTTTGTAATACTAAGATTATGTCCACGTTTATCCGTTTTTGGGGAGGTTTGGGGTAATTTATCTGAAAAAGAATAATAGCTTTCTTTAAAAATATATATAGGGAATATCGGGGAAATATATATTTAAAAGTTTTACTGGTCATAACATTAGAGCTCTTCTAATCCGCACTCCTTCCCATTCCTGTCCAGTTTGGCGGTTTCCCATTTTGTCGAGTTATGTTGTCACGGTAATTAAAATTGAAGCTGCCACGTCATAATCAAAATTAGCATAGAATGCATTAAGACCGAATGTTTGGTGTCAATCAAAGCTGTGAAAAGTTTTCACAACTCTGACTTCGGGATCCAGACCCGACACTCGACCACAATAGAAGAGCATAGCGACTGGAGTGCTGACGTTTTGACAATCGTAACGATTTAGTTTGGTCATTCGAATGGAATGGAAGTGTACGACTCCCAGCCACCGCACGACATCACCATAATCATCCGAGGCCCCCCGCTGCTGGGCAAAGTGTCTGCAAACTGAGCAATCCGTGCCATAATCAATTTGCCAGCAGAGCTGTAAAGAGCGCAGCAAATCCTCGACTAATATATTCATAACTGAAAGCGAGTGGGCGCAGGATAAGGTGGGGGTGTATTTGGGTTAAGGGAGTTACATGGGGGTGGTTATATGGTTTGGGTGCTGTCAGGGAGAACAAAGGGATCAAAAGCGCAGATAAATCAGTGACAGCGGGCACTTTTGAAGCGTGTAAGTGTTAAAAAACCGCTTAGACGTGTACTCAAAATTAACAGGATCTGTGGGGGGAAAGGTTATATATCTTGACACCCTCTTTCGCATGTTCGTTCTCCTCGAATGGGGCATTTGGCTTTCACGCTCAACTTGAGTCCACCCAAAACAAACAGATTATGTTTCGAGTACTCCTGATGACTCTTCATCTCTTTTGGGAAGGGGCAGCCTTCAGACACATGTATCCATTTATAAATAAATATGTTTGCCACAAGTTATGGCACGGGCCATTTGCGCCAGAAGTCCGAACTCGTTAGGGCCCCATTAATGGGTGTCTTTGGGAGAGTGTCTTGAGCCCGAGGAGAATCAGCCAGGATGTGGGCTGGACCAAGGCAACAATACTTAACGCAATGTGTTGAATTGACTCTGAAGTAAAGAGACTAAACCACGAAAAACACGTTGCGTATCTTAGGAAGAATAATTATTCTTTCACAAAGGTTCAGATTAAATTATTGAATATTTAAGAATTAGAAACTTATAGAACCAATGAAAGTCAGAACTCTGTTATACCCGTTCGGAACACTAGCCGAATTGATCTAGCCATGTCCGCCTGTCCGTCTGTCTGTCCGTCCGTATGAACGCTGAGAAACTATAAAAGCTAGAACGTTGGGATTAATTATGTAGACCAATTATGTAGTTTGTTTCATCGAGGTGCCACGCCCCTAACGCCCACAATCGCCCTAAACGATTTTAAAATGTGTCTGGCGGCCACATTTTTTAATGTACTTATAAATGCAATTTATTAATACCTATCGAAATGCAGAAAACATGAAACATCATTAAACCCGAATTCCATTTTGAGATCTTGGTAGTTCTGTGCACCAAACCGATAACAAATTTTCTTATATAAAGGACAGCATAATTATCAGAGATTTTCAAGAACAAATTTTTACCTATTTCAGCCTACACCAACTCGGATAGTGAGGATTGCAGTGATGACGAAGGGGCACATTCTCGGCATGAAGGCAGCGGAATGGGTGGCAAGGACTCGCAGGGCAACGGCTCCAGTTCCAGCTCGAAGTCCCGTCGCCGGCGAACAGCCTTTACTTCGGAGCAGTTGCTGGAACTCGAGCGGGAATTCCACGCCAAGAAGTACCTCAGTCTCACGGAGCGCAGTCAAATAGCCACCAGTCTAAAACTAAGCGAGGTTCAGGTAAGAACGTTTACAAAAGAAATAAAGAACATTCCATGCTTATGATAAACCTTGTCCAATAGGTGAAAATCTGGTTCCAGAACCGACGAGCCAAATGGAAAAGGGTCAAGGCGGGACTCACCTCCCATGGATTGGGTCGGAATGGGAGCACCAGTGGCACCAAGATTGTGGTGCCCATCCCGGTGCACGTCAACCGATTTGCAGTGCGATCCCAGCACCAGCAGCTGGAGAAGATGTGTCTTAGTGGACCGAAGCCGGATCTCCGCAAGAAGCTCTCGGCGGAGGCGATCGGAGGATTCGAGAAGTTCAGCGGTCCCACCAACGCCCCGCCGCCATCGGGAGGAGCTGTGGGATTGGGAGTGGGAGTAGGAGTCGGCTTGGGAGTGTCCACGCCTCTGTCCCTCGCCAGGAGTATATATTGATGGAGTTCGGCTCCGGCTCCCAAGACGCACGAGTGTATATACCTAAGGAGGCGGTTCCGCTGCTAACGGAGTTTTCTTTTTGTAAATAAACGAACGAAAAATCAAATGCGAATCAAAGTGTATTTCTTTCAATGCTAATATTTTCAAAAACTTTGTTCAATTAAAATCATAAAACTAAACAATTCATTGCAATGAAATGTAGCCTTACAAATTTTCGGAATTATAGAATCGGTTGTATAATTCCGAATTAAGGACCCATTTTGGCGATACATTCTATGTGAAACTGACCACATGAAGGGATATAAATCCTGCTGGCCCAAAAACACGCCCAGCCAGGAGCCGGAAGTCGAAAGCCACCAGAAGCCACTTAAGGGACCCCGGGCACAAATCTCGCCTCGATGTCAATTGGAACAATTAAACTGCCAATTTGTGCGATTTAGCACGGCCCAAAGTGGCCGTTTGGAGTGTCAAAAATCGAGCGTTGCAGTTCGAGTTCGGGTCGATTTGTGTGTGACTAATTTTTGTAATTTAACGCACCAAATTGTCACGAAATGGGAGTCAGGGAGAGTCCTTAGATCCCTTAGCGATAGAGAGAGAAAGATAGAGAGAGCAATCACTCCAGGTGTCTCACGTGTCACGCCTCTTTGACTGACTGGGATCCTGAATCCAGGATACTTCCCTCATGACTTATTAGCATCGAGATCTCCCTGCCTTTGTGTGAGTTTTTAATTGCATTAGCGACTTATTGGCTGCCTCCTGACTTTTGTTTGTTGTAACTCCCCTGCTCGCCCCTCTCCGCTCTCAGCTCGCCTAATTGTGCCGGGCAAAAAAGTAGGCAAAGGAAACCCACCCCTGCAAGAGGAAAGCGAACTGGGAACTGGGAAACGGGCCCCTTACGCTATCACCCTCGTGTAGCGTTCCTCGCAGCTTTATGTTGGGACACGCCTCCAAGCATGGGTTTTTATTATTGCAACACTTTGCAGGCAATTTGCTGCCGGCTGCTGGATTGCCGAGCGATGTTCTTTTGGAATCCACAATCGGAAGCTGGAAGTCGAGAGATGGGAGCTGACTTTGCGGCAGGATCGGAGTTCGGCTACGTTGGTTCAGCGAGTGAGCTACAATGGAAGAGTAACAAGGACTAATACCAAGAAATTGATATCCTGAAATAAGAAGACGACTTAGTTAACAGGGCTCCCATTTCTAGCCTTTTTCAGAACGGATCCATTAATGATTTTATATACCTAGCCAGAAAAGCTCCATTAAACTATTATTTTCCGAAAATCTATATCAAGTGTTAAATAGTGAAGAGTATCACCTTCTAGTTGTAATTTTAGACTGTATCTTACAACAAATAATAACTGTTCTTGGTCAATTAATGTTGAAATTATAATTTTCTTGTACTAAAAGAGTGACATTTGTCGTAAAAACAATTTTAGGCCGACTTAATATTATATTAATTATATTCTTTAATATTTTGTTTACCTTTGTACACAAAATCTTTTATGAAAAAAATTCACATATAAACTCAGTTTGAAACATTTTTGGGCAGTAGTGCACTAGTAAATCGTTAAAGCCGATGCGTCGTGTCATCATCAGCCACCTCTGATTGCTTCGATGTAGTTTCATGTTGTATAGTACTTTTTGCCTTTTGCCGGAGTTGCCTTTGTTGTAAATTATATTGCCATTAATTACGCGAGGATTTGTGTCGCCCAGGTCGGTTAAGCAACCGTAGGCAGCACGTTAAAAATCACTTTAAAATCATTAAAAAGTAGAAGGAAGTCCGCGGCCGTCGGCGAGGGTAGAGATTCAAATCCGGATCCTGTGAGCGGCAAAAGGGGGTCATAGTTGAATGCAGGGCTTTAAACGGACGCCCATAAATCAAGCCAGAAATGCGCGCTGTCATAATTTGTCATAAGGCCGGGCCACGCCCACTTTTGGAAAACACACATGTGGCAGGGAAGGAGTTGTCCGGGTTTCGCTCGGTTTGCGGCAAGTTTGTTGCCATGGCCATCAGCGGACTTTGCAGGCCTTCAAAGGCACCGAGGACGATTCATTAAAGTGCACTTGTCACCGGCCCAAGACGGCGGGAATGTCTCCATGAATTAACTGCCCATGAATTGACTGCCACTCATCGACAATCAGCGGCAATCAGCGATGTAAACGGCTTGTAAACAGAGGGGGGTTTTGTACAGGTTAGGGGGGCTTGGGGGTACTACTGGCATTGCCATGCGATCTGTCAGTCCCCCAAAGACGGACGATCGGGCACCCACGGCTACTCCGCCGGTTGGAATTCCGCCGAAGACAGAATCGAAAAAAATCAAAACGAAAATGCACTCACGCACCTGAATCCCTAATCAGCGGCCTGATGACGATCCGTCAGGGTGGACAGGCGGCGGCTACCGGCGGCAATGCATTTGGGTATTCGCTTTTGGGAACGGGCAGGTCAAAACGGTAGCAGGTTGGGTATATAGGTTGACTGCGCATCTCACCAGGGAACATATTTTCCAAAATGTATCTATTGATCTATAAGATGGTTTTATAAGAGGTTACAATTTAACATTTAAATATGCAGTTCTAACGCGTTCGTGTTTTCGTATTATAGGATGAATTTCCAGTTCGGTTTCAGTCGCTGTACCTGTAGAGTTTGTTTTCTTTAACATGGCTGAGGCCTTTTGACATTTTACGATTTTAATATAACCATATGTATTTCATATTCCTTCGGCTTGTATGTAGGGTATATTTGTAAACGAATATACTCCACTCCAGTGGTTTTCGTTTGTTTGGTGAATTAATTAATTACCATTTTATGATTTTATTAATTTCGAGAACCAAAACATAAAGCATGCAAGCGGCGGCCGTTCTGACTGTCTCCCCATCCCATCCAACTCCCCTTCACCATTGCCGTAGCCAACCCCTCTCCATTGGACAGTGTCGCCGGTTTCTGTCCGCCAATGTCCGTCGTATTCCAATTCCCATGGCTTATGGGCACGTACCGGTGAGCTCGTAATAATAATGAATGTAAATTGCCGCAATGAACGATTTAATGTCTTAATTCTTTATTTATACTGCATTTTCATATATGTCGCTGCAGTCACGCCCCCCTGTTCTCACCCTCCAGTGGGGGCGGGAGATTTTCAAACAATTTGATAATGATAACTACTATATGCAGCGACCAACAAACAAAGTGCCGACCGCATGAATAATGCAATAAAAACGAGGACGGAAGCTAACTTCGGCAAGCCGAAGTTTTAATACCCTTGCAGATTTTACGAATTAAAACTTGACTAGACTCGCAACATGAATTAATAAACAACAAAATATTTTATAATTGAAAAAATAAAATTTTAAAATTTTTCACCCTATTGTTCCTATGGGAGCTATAAGATATAGACGCCCGATCGGCACGCGCGTTTACCCTAATGAAGGTACGCACAAAAAAATACGATTTGGAAAGTTTCATGGGAATAGCTAATATTTTGCGCGAAATATCCTGAAAAACGTCAAATTTTGACCGATTTCACCCTATTGTTCCTATGGGAGCTATAAGATATAGACGTCCGATCGGCACGCGCTTTTACCCTGATCAAGGTACGCACAAAAAAATACGATTTAGAAAGATTCATGCCAATAGCTCTTACACTGAGCGAAATATCTTCATTTTTGTGAAAGCTATATCCGATTGTTCCTATGGGAGCTATAGGATATAGACGTCCGATCGGGTCGGCTTTCAAACTTGATCTGCGTACACATGTTTTAGGACGACTGTGAAAGTTTCAAGGCGCTAGCTTTTAAACTGAGCTCGCAAACGGTATTGAAACAGACATACAGACGGACAGACGGACAGACGGACAGACGGACAGACGGTCAGACGGACAGACGGACAGACGGACAGACGGACAGACGGACATGGCTATATCGACTCCCCTATTGATCCTGATCAAGAATATATATACTTTATGGGGTCGGAAACGTCTCCTTCACTGCGTTACAAACTTCTGACCAAAATTATAATACCCTCTGCAAGGGTATAAAAATAGAATAATGCATTTCGAAAAAATTATGAAAATGAATGCTTGAATTGATCAATTTTCAAAAGACTTTTCGCGGCTACTTTCTGGTCACGAAGGAAGCCGTTTGTCAAACGATTTCGTGCCAGCCAATTAAATATAAATATATTACATCCATCTGTCCCCTTCCCCAAAAAGCTAAACGTTTCGAGGAAAAATATTAGAAAGGGGTGTCCAACTGTCTGGGATTTGGTCAACGCGTCGGCACTTCTGAGGGTTTGTTGGGTGTTTGGGGTACTTGGATGGGTGATCACTCTTGAGAAAGGAAGTAGTGGGTCGAAGATCGAAGAAGAAATGAAAAGTAATATTATTCGACATCACTGAAGTATATATATATTATATATATTGTTTGAAAAAGCTATGTTGAAACTTTAATGACAAACAGGATATAGGTATTTCCTCTGCTTAATCGAATACTTTCTGATCCCACACACTCATTCTTTCAGTTTATCTTTTGCATAATTTGGCATAACGATCCGGCATTAATCAAAGGACCGAGCTCAGTCAGCACAATCACTTCCGCTCTGTGGTAGACCACATAAGACCGAGAATCGAGATTAGGGGACACCATAAACCATAATAAACCAAATTGTGGCGTGTGCACGTACTCCCAGTCTGAATCCGAGTTTCTGGGTGGCCCAACTAGAGATCATTTAGAATGAGTTACGAGGCCAGAATGCTTCTAGGACTACGTGTCCTGTGTATAGGGACACGTTTATAACGTAGAAGTCGGGACACACGTGCAGATAATTGATAAAATATTGGATCAGATAAGATTCGAGCTGCTGTTTTGGGTAATTGATATTCTGGCCATCGAAGGACACAAAGGGAATGGGAGAACTCCCGCTGAGCCACTTCGATACAGTAATTTGACCCCCGATATTCCGGCCAGTGGGGTAAAAAACGGCGGACGCAATTTATGCCACAGCATCCGGATAGGTTACACCCACTATTTCCCCATCTTCGAGCGCTTTTCATGAGTTGGCGAAATAAAACGGCACATCCAATGAATGCTGAATAATAAAAAACGAAGATGTTCCTCGCAAAAAGAGCAAATCATCATCATATGTACACGACATTGGGGAGCTATCGTCCTGGCTCATGCCACGCCCCCAAAAGGGGACCGAGGAGACCCGTGTCAGTCTGTCTGGACTCGCTCCAGTTCCGCCCACCGACTTCCGGGCCGCAAAGTGCGGAGTCTGGGTTTTTTGCGACCATAATGCCAACGAAAATGCAGGGAAGAGCTGGGCGTGGGTGGCTCCCGTCCGTAATTACAAACCACCCACTAGCCCCTGGCCGCAAGCGTAAAAAACCGAGCGAAAATGTGATGACGTAGTTAGAGTGTTTGCGAGCCACCAGTGCACACTGGGCCAGAAAGTTAATTTTTTGGCCAAAAATCTGTAATTTCTTTCCTAGGACAGTTAGAAGGATGCAGTTTTTTGCGTTTTTTTCTTAAAAGATTGAACTTTCCAACGAACTAAAAGTAAAATTTCTTGGAATTTTATATGATATAGATAATCCAGACCAAAGTCGGAAAATTTTACGTACTTTTCGGTTTTTTATTTTTAAAAAAATAACTAGAAGACGCACTTCTTCAATTTTCGAAAACAATAAAGTATGAGATAAAACAAACTAAAAAAAATTAACATCACTAAAAAATATTATGTCATTTAAGATTTATGAACCGTTAAAAAGTGCAACTTTCGCCGGCTCCCACATCAACGTTTATCAAACAATCGATTTAAAAAAAATTTCTATTTTTTTGTTCTTGTTACCTTTTAAGTTTTATATAATCAAATTATGTAAAAAAAATTGTTTAAAAATATTGTTTTTTGATTTGTTTAATGTTAATTTGACATATTCTGAAGTCATCACAAAAGTATGCTACATTTTTATTTGCATAGTCCTGATTAAATAGATAGATATAGGTTTGGAAAATACCATAATCGATTAGTGTACGTAAAAAATAGATTTTAGATGTTAGTCACACTAAAATCAAATTTTTGAGCGCAAAATGTTCACCAAAACCTGAAGAAATAAAGTATGGCATACTCTTGGGCTCTCTTAGATAAGCTCTTCAAAATAGCTCGACTTCGAGTTAAGCCTTCAATTAAAACTTAAATTACCGAAAACTAAGGCAAAACCGCATCGAGTCGGTGGGCTACGCTTTTAGTAAATTGATCAACGAATTTTTTTTTTAAGGAATGAACTAATTTGGGGATGGCACTCGAAGGCACTCGAAAAGCAAAGTACTCATTTGCTGAAAAAAAGCGTAAAAATTTACAATTACATTTATTTTAGCAAACAAGTAAGACATACGAGCTATATTATATTTTTTACTTGTTTAAAGTAATCCCTTCTGCAAGTTTCGGAAAGAAGTCGAACAGCAACATCAGCATCTTTGACTTCTAAATTTTTTTTCATTTCCATCAATATTTTATGAATTTTTCACTTTGAAAATATGGTAAAAGAAAACTACTTGCCCGAATTCTTTGAATTTTTGGCATAAATTAGTTTAATGTATTATAAAAAGGATCCCAAACTCAATTTGGTCATTTTCTTAAAAAAGAAAAACGTATTTTTGGCCAAAAATCTGATCGGCTGGCCCAGTGTGCAGTGAATTGTTTGGCAACGCCCACCGCTCAGCGGGCGGTCAGATTTTGCGGTAATCATCGACGCGCCAGGGAACCCGTAGTCCAAACTCCGGAACCAATGCTAAGTGCTGCCAGCAATCTGTAGTTTTGGACAGCAGCCAACCAATAAACATAAAAAAACTAATTTAATAAAGCGTCTATGTGCGAATGTTTCCTAGTTCCAGAGCAGCGGAAAGCAATGGAGAGTATATATTTAGACAGGATCGAAAACCATACTAGAAATCGATTAGCAGACAACATTTAAAAATAAGATTCAAGGCGTATTTCACGGAGTTTATAGATACATATATTTATATAAAAACAAAATGATCTAAGTTCGACTTGCGTATTTTTGATCTAAGAGAAATTAGCTTTTGAATTAATATTTGCCTTTCTGGAAAATCCAGCACTATTATGGAGCCAAATTAAAAAAAATAAACTTAAATATTATGAAATTCAACCCAAAACAGTTCGACTGCAACTGGTAAGTAACAAAAGATTCTATAAAATTTCACTAGGTACTGACACTTAATGACTATTCTTAAAAGTAGCCTCTAGCATGCACCTAAAGAACTAGAAAAATAGCCTTGCACGTGGCCTTCAACTAGATTTGACTACGATCGCTTGCAGAAATGGCCAATATACATAAATGTTCACAACATATCACAACATTGCAGAAGAGAGAATATCCCAAAGGGGAGACCTACAAGCGCTGAACACAGCGCCTCACAAACTTGGCCTTATGGTGGCACATGAAACGCAGCAGAAAGACGACCAGCAGCAGACTCACTCCATAGCCAATCACCAGAACGGCGCGCTTTCTTCGCTTCCAGCGCTGATAGTCCCGCCACGATGCGTAGCGATTGCGGAATTGCGGTGGCAGCTCGAACTTGCTGCGCCGCGGGAAGAAGGACAGGTAAAAGTCCTCGAGTAGGTGGCGAACCATGTCGTTGTCTTCCCTTCTATTAGCGTCGAGATTGTCGTTGATACAGTTGAACTTGCGCGGATTCCGGCGTAATCGGTCTAGGGATTCCACCACTTCTGTTAGGTTGGAGGTGAGCATCATAAAGTTGCTGTGCGAAACTCTCTTTGGGCTGACGTGGAAGTGATACTTGGGTCGCACGGCGAAGTTGGCCGCCAATGCTTCAGCCAGCAGGGGACACCGCACTACTAGATCTCTGGTGATAGTGGGCTATTGGAAAGGAGCAAACTGTCAATGGAATTTCCCAAGATCTATTTGTAGGTACCAACCAAATTAGAATCCTCATATCGCTCGTAGACCAGCGTAGAGTGTTCAACTGATTCCACTCTTATATTTATCCCTAGACTCCTGGTGCAGTTCTGAATTACTTCCTCGAAGTATCGCATGGCTGACCAGTCTAGGGGCGGTGGATAAATGCGTGTGAGGAAGGTGCGCACCTCCCTATCCGACCAAGTGGCCGAGCCGTCGGTGTCGAACTCGTCGAAGATCTCCTCCACACCCATTACCTGCGTTTCGCTCATCAGGAAGGAGTAATAGGCGAAGGCATACTGCAGATCTGTGGGCGCCCGAAAGCGCTGAAGGGCCGTGTTTAGGACTTGTTGCCGAAAACGTCGTTGCATGGCCTCCACAATATCCCTGTCGATCAGGAAACCCACGTGGGCTAGAACGTGGCGTGCCTTGAAGCCATAGGCCCGATTTAACAACATATTGGTGGCAATTAGCGAGTGGGAGTAGATGTCGGTGGAGGACTTGAAATCCTGCTTGTGCAGTGTATGGCGTTGGGTGGTCGGTGGCTCGGAGCTAGTCGCCTCCATTTCGGGATTCAGCGACATAAGCTTGGCCCTGTTGAAACGCTCCACGATGCGGCGGAGTTCCTTGAGCGTCGACACGTTGCGGTTGCGCATCTCATCCTTGAAGTTAGCCGAGCTGCTCCTAAAAAGCTTTTGGAGACCCACGTGAGGGAAGCGATGAACAGGAGTTTTTGGAACGGCGTCAGGCTCTACTTCGAGAACCTCATGGCTTTGTGGGAAGGCGTGGCCGCCGTCCGCTGTCCCACTTTCGCTGCAGTCTCCTCCATCAAACTGGCAGGCATCGATGTTGCAGTGCCGATCGCAGGCTCCATCTCCTATGTAGGTCCACGGGCAGTCCAAGGCGCAGTCGGGCACCATCCAGGCCTGGTACACTCGCACTCCCTCCGCCTCTGTGAACAGATCCTCTGGATACAGGGGTGCTCCCAGGAATATGTCGTCGTTTAGGTAGAGAAACCGCTTGGACAGCTTTGGTATGCGGTGCAGGAATGTCTCGATGGCGGAGCTGGAAAAGGTGGGCAACTGGGCGGGATCGGGAGCCAGCACTTCGTGGGGCACTACTGTAACCCTCTCGTAGCTGAGGTCAAGCCAATTGGGAATCTGGCCATTGGTCACTATGTAGACATGCCTGATCCAATTGGCGTGCTTCTCCAGCGATCTCAGCGAGTAGCGCAGCTCATTCTTGTCGTCGAACCGCGAGGGATCGTATTTGGAGTCGAATCGCCGGATGGACTCTATGAAATTGGGATCCGAGCCGTTGACCCAAGTGTAAACCGCGTCGATGGCGCTGCAGGAGCTGCCGAAGTCGCCGGTGTTGCCCTTTTCCGATGCGGAAAGATAGCTGGTAGCTAACCAAACCACCAGGCAGAGTCCCCCAAAGACTGTAATTGAGTAAACCTTAAATTAGTTAAGTCACAAGGGAGACATGGGGGCAACTCACCCAGGAGCAACTGCAGCTTCCTGCGAGACTGGAGTCGCAATTGTTCTATGACACGCCGCATTCTTCGCGGCCACCGGCGGCGCAAGCGCATCCTCAGGTCCTTAAATGGCACATTTCATTTATTCTTCGCGCAGTTAAATCATAACAAAAACTTTGTTTTTCCCTGGGCTAGTGTGGTCGCAGCACGACTGCTCAAAAATACCACATGAATCAGCTGACTTTTAGGACAGGTAATATTTGTATCAGTTCGGAACTGGTTCCGAACAGAAAGGTTTGTGTCCGTGCTAAGTTTGCAACAAAGTTCTCAACCTAATTTGATAAATTAATTTATATAAATACGATTAACTAAATTTAAGTAATTATAGGCTGTAAACATCCCACCAGTCCCCACAAAGAGCACTAAAGTTAGCATCAAATTTTTTCAGTATTTTTTTAATCCCACACTTTTGGCATGTTTTGACAACACTGCGGTCAGCTGGTGCGCATCACATGACCGTCATAAGGTTTTTTTCTCACTGGAATAGGCGACGTCGTGCAAGGCAAAGCGAAAATTTTCACCACCATTTTTCGTTTGTAGTTTCAGTTCACTTTTCGGTTGGTTTCTAGTGCCTCCTGTGTTCTCCTTGGTTCTTAGCTTATGAGTTCTTTGTTTCCTTTGTTTTTATAAAACCCCCCAAGTAAGCGGATCCAGCGAGATGTTGTGGAAATCGCTGATTGCGTTGTGCGTCATTGGGGCCGCCCTGGCGGAGCAAACGCCCGTCTTTCTGTGGGGAGCCAACAGGTGGGTCTTACTGCTGCAACTGCAACCTAACCAGTTGACTGTGTTCCCTTCTCAATATCAGTGTGACGAAGCCCTCCCTGAAGACGGTGCCCCAGGCGGAGTTCGCCGAGCAGTTGGCAACGTTGCTGGAAGATCACATGGTCGTGGCCTTCGAGGAAAATGGCGTAAGTGCTTGAGTACACATAGCAGATAACTTGACCGATGAAATTCGATTCTTCAATTCCCACACCCACGAAAAAAACCAGCTGAGCAACAAGGACTTCCTGTGCTCCAACTCCCAGGCACAGTCCTGCTACGCCCAGCTGCAAGGAGTCAGCCCCAAGACCTACTACACCAGCGTGGAGAATCCCTCGGAGGCCCTGCGCTCGGTGGCCGCCAGGCGGGAGCACAACTCCATCGATGCCAGCGGAAAGTTGACCACCCCGGCCAAGTGCTCCGCGGGCACGGCCCTCTTCGTGAGCTTCGAGGACGCCGCCGAGACGCGGGAGGCCAGCCTGGAGTCACATGGTGGGTCATCACAGAGCGGCCAATGTGACACACTTACTTTACCATGTTTCACCTTAAAAATCCCCCCTCAGACGCCGCCATCGCCGCTATCAGCAAGCAGTTCGAGTGCAAGGTGGCTTATCTCTACCTGGCCGCTCCCTCCACCGCTCCCGCGGTCCAGCGTCGCACCCGCCGTGACACAGCCGCCACCACCGGCGGATTCATCTGGCACGCGTCTAACCAGTTTCAGATCTTCTACACCGCTCTCCTCTACAACGGTCAGGCCGTCGAGGTCCAGTCAATGGCGGTCACCAACTCCAGCACTCCCCTCTCCAAGTTCTCCGTTCAGCTTACCACGACCGATGCCAACAAGCCAATCACCTTTGACGTTCTTTACAATGGTGGATACTTTAGTCTGAGCAACCTGGTCTACGACGGCAGCAACTTCCGAACCACCGGCGTGAACGCCCCCACCACGTTCTCCTACTCCTGCGGCAACCTGACCCTCGAGTCCACGGCCGTGAACAACATGTACAACACCCTGAGCTTCAAGTCCCTGCAGCTGCAGGCTCCCTTCGACGGCACCTACAAGGAGAACTTCGCTTTCGGCGACTCCTGGGACTGCGTGGGCTTCGTGACTCCCGGCATCCTGATGGGTCTGTTCGTGGTCGCCCTCCTGCTGGTCATCATGTTCGTCGGCGTCTGCTGGATGATGGACATCAACACGATGGATCGCTTCGACGATCCCAAGGGCAAGACTATCACCATCAACGCCGCCGCCGAGTAGACGGTTGGCTCCATTAGTTCACTCCTTATTTGATTGTTTGATACGCACTCAATATTCATTCCTTTATTCCTTCAGTCTATCCACATGTATTTGTAAACGAATCAATACTTATTACCGTACCCACATAACACATAACCGGGAAATTAGTCCTCACAATTTGTATCGTATCTGTAATTTTCGCCGGCAAGGACCAGATGACGTGCAGCATCAATGCGTTGCTGATTCTTGTCGCCGAAAATTGCCTGAGGTTTTGCTTGCACCGACTTGGCATCCAGTATTTCATTTAGCATAGCCCCTAAATGTCGTAAATCGAAGGAATTCTAAAAAGACGCACATGTGTGTGTACGAATGTGTGTGTGTGCCCATGGGCAGTAAATCTAATCTTGAATATATCTAAGTGTTTTATAGTTTCTTGTTTGGCGCAACTATGCGAGACTAATTTATGCCTCTGTATGATAGTTTGTCATTTGTGCAACCCTCCTGTTCGCAGGCCCAACGAAAATAAAGTTTTTTTCAATTGTGTTACAAATGAAAAGTGTTTGCTGGCTAAAAGACGATGGTTCGATGCCCTTTCTTGGAATACTTTCATTTAAAAAATCCTTTCTTGTGGATCAATTTTGAATTTAGTAAAAATTTATAATAATTCTTGTACAATTCATAATATTGGCAAGACTATATGAAGTTTAAAAAGCTGCAGACATCTTATGTAATTGGTGCATTGCATTACTTAACTTTTTGTCTGCACTCAGCCTTTCATGAGAGTATATAAAAGAGTATATATAAATCTATCTGACAATATCAAGTTAAGACAATAAGTTTATTTGTATTTTTGGAGGGGAGTAACTTATTACAGCACTTAGGCGATAAGATTCAACTATTGACTGGTATCCAAATAGTTGATAACAACTTTTTGTGTAGCTTGTTTTGGAAACAATTTCAATTGAATTCTCTGGTCTTGTTGGCCGGAAAAAGGCATGGAAACAAATCAAAAGTTTAATGGAAATTTATTGAGTTGTATCGGCGGGCTTTTCGAGGGATACTCCGCAGTTCGGTTGGAACTTGAATTTGAAACTTTGCAACTGCAGCAAAGGAAACCCATTTCCCAGGCTTTCATTAAGTTGCTTAGCTGAAGTGGCAAAAAGCATTGTTTATGACATTTTAATCTCTTGTTTATCCGCTTGACTTTTCCACTTGCCTGCGAGTGCAAAGTGGAAAGTGGAAAGCTGCAGCCGTCTCCGTCTGGTCAAGGCGTGCGTAAAATAAACTCCCCGGCAGACAGCGCAAAAAGTATGCTACGGCGGGGAACCAAACTACGTGGGTGTACGGCTACGGGTGTACCAGTGGGCGGATGTGTTCTCCGAGCCAAGAGCACACAGTTGACTGCACTGCGAGTGGCTGGCAGGCGCTTAACGTTTTTGTTGCATTAGAAACAGGTCAGTGCGTCATGCACACAAATGAGCATATGACCCAACTGGAGCGCAGTGCAGCGGGTCCGAAAAACTTGTGCCAAGTGGGGTCCTGGGAGCCGGCAATCCATGGCATCGTTTTCCTATCGGAGGGAATCCGGGGATGTCCGGGGCCGGCGGAAACAGTAATTATGCATAAGTCAACACGCGGCATTCGTAATGAACTCCACTCAAAGCGGAACGAGCACTTTGCGGACTCGCAGCCATGGCGCAAAAGTTCGCAAAGTTTTTGGCAGCCGAAAATGTCGCCAACTTGCCAGCTGCCGAAACTTTCGGGCCAGCCCCATAAGCAGCCTCTAGCTCAAGTTCTCTATGTGCTCGGTTGTAAGTATGGCATGTGGAAATTAGAACAGCTGCGGTCAACTCCATAGCACCCATGGCCGGAGAAGTTGTTCCTAGCAATAAATAAAGTCAAGCAATAGATAGACATAATTGATTTATCCATTTTGGATTTGCAAATAAAGTAGAAATCCTTTTTTCACATACTTTTTACTCTTTTAAAGAATATATAGTAAGCTCTTTTATGCCTGTTAATCGTAGAGTATATATATAAAGAACATATATTTTTGATCAGGATCACTAGCCGACTCTATCCGTATGAACGCTGAGAAACTACAAAACATAAAAAGTTGGGATTGACCATATAGGGGTTTTTACGCTCCGCAAGGTTTTTTCAGTAAAGCCTGTTCTAGCCTTAGAGGACCTTAAAAAAATCCTGGGCCCACATCTTTACAGATTTTGTAAAAGTGTAAAGGCTATTTTGTTGTGTTTACTAATTCCTTCCGAAATTTAGAAGAACTTATTGAATCGTTTTGAATCTCCCTCGCACGATTCATACATAAATATATCAGTTACATATTTATTTGAGAGCATTTGAAAAAGTTTAGATTTCGATTATTAAGAAAAACAAACTTTTTCAAATATCATATTTGATGTTGATTTGAATTACGAATAAATTAGAAAAATGTCATTTAGCTTTTTGAGATTTTTAGACAAAATAAACTATTTTGATGGCCCCGGCTGTATGGGTTTATATGCAAGTGGGGTTCTTAACCCTGCCAAACCGTTGGACCTTCCTGCTGGGAGGACCCCTGGGGTTAAAGTGTCGCTCTCTCCTCGCCAGCAGCCACAGGCCGTAATAAACCCAGCGGTCTACAAATTGCAGCATTAGGCAGGCACAAACAGAAATGTGTATGTAGAGTGGGGATCGGCCAACTTGGGAGAAAATCCATGCTGTTCGTCTGCCAGGAGAAGGACGGCGACCACGACTGCCAGTAGTAAATGCACCCAATGCAGTTTGAAAAGTTGGGTCCGTTTGCTGTCATTAAGCTGAGCCACAGTGCGAATCATTAGGCGCAGGAGCCGGAGAGTGGAGAGCTGGAAGCTGGGATCTGGGAGCTTAAGCCAAAGCCAAAAACAATAAAATCGCTGCCGGGGAGCGGCTTGAGCTAAAGTTAATGATGGCATTTGTCCAGTCGGGAAGTTTTCGTCACCCATCTGCCACCCATTTCTGGTACTTATCTCCACCAAGTGGATGTGGACTCGCTTTGTTGGTTGCGGGGCATGATTAACTAATAAGTACACTCTCCCTTGAGGAGGAGTGGGCGTGGGCGGTTCCTCAAAGGGGATTTCGAGTAGAGCCCCCTAATGAAGT